GGATTCTTTTATAAAGAAAGTATATGTATATATTTATATATTAGATAAATTTCCTTGAATACACATATCTATTCTCATAAAATGAAATTAACATATATAATTAATCAATCTACTGCTTATACAATTAACTTAATTTTTAATGTTCTTGTTGAACATCTTATTAATCTTTAAGTAAAATATAAAGATTTTATATGCGCTTTGAAAATAAAATTAAATTAAACTAAAATGTAGAACTTAATTAAAAAAATTTTGTTTGAATTCAAATCCAAAATAGAATGAAAAATAATATAATACGTTTAAATTTGAGTTTATATAAAAAAAAAAAGGAAAAAAAAACTTATAACAAAAGCAACTTTTAAACTTTTTATCACTAACGTGCAATATAAGTTTCGAAAAAAAAAATAAAAGAATAAAACCAAAAAATACTGAAGTTTAGTTAAAACTCCAAGGATAAATTACAAGGCAGCACAGTAGAGTGACTGCATTAAAATTATCGAAACGAAACTTTAGTCGGAAAAAAATATTGCATTGGCATAGAAATTGAAACTGAAAACTTTGGTTTCAACAAGTGACGCCAATAGGAAAATCGTGTAAAAAATTTCAGTTTTAATCAAATCAGTACGATTTAAAAATAAAAATAAAAAAAATAGAAGCATCGTGGAAAAACTGCGATTTGTTTGTCGTATTTCAATCAAACTTGACAAAATTTACCATAGAAACGCATTGACGTGTCGAGAGAAATGAACGTAGCATAAAATTTCTTTTAATTGAGTTTTTAAATCTTTACATATTAATTTATTCAACGAAAAGTTTCTAGAAGGCTCCCACATGAGTCGGGTATGTATGTCCCAACCCATGGAACACTCAACGAAGTCACAAAAAGTTTAGTTAGTGAATTCTTAATCGAAATTAATACGAAATTATTTGGTTTTAGACGCTGGTTTCATTTACAAACATGAAAACATAAAAACATGAAAAATATAAATATTCGAAAAAAATTTAAATTTAATATTGTAAAACCTTGTTACCCAAAATTTGATTTTATTTAAAATGTATTTAAAATCGTAGAAAGAGATACTTTGTCACACAGAGGTTTAATGTTTGATATATAGTTATCAATATCAATGATTACGATATATATATATATTCGCAGACTTAAAAGTGTATAGAGAATGTTTTTTTTTCCTCAGGACGTCAGGACATACGTTTATAGCAAAAAAATTATACTACTAATACCGCAACAATCAAATATGAACTCAATGTGTATATTAAATGAAACAAAATTTGGGAACTTCGTTTAAAATAATATAAAAACCTTGAATATATTACAATGACACTGAATCGAAACAAAAAGTTAAGAAGTGTTTTGTGAACCCAGCTCCTTGTCTCTGAAGAGAATTCGCTTGGAATATACATTAGTATCTAAATACACAATATCTATATGAATTATCAAGAAGATATTGATCGTTTTGGATCAATTGCATGCAAAAATTCGACAAAATTCGAAAGAGCAAAAGAAAATATCTACCTGCTAGTAGAACTCCAAAAATATTTGATAAAATCAGGTAATTAAAGCAAGAATTGTTTTAACATTTAGCCTATACGCTAGGTTTAGCTTCATCAGTCAGTTTTCTCAGACCACTAAGAAACTATATTCATAACCAAGGATGTAATAACTGTCATAGAGAAGTATTTAAAAACCATTAGATGAAAAATATAAATTAGAGGACTATTGGAATATCAATTCGACAATAAACTGACTGCAAGTGTATTAAACTTAAACAAAATTGTACTTAAATATGAAGCCATTTCTATAACGTTCCGGGAACTCATTAAACTTTGTATAATAGTATAATTATCACTAGAAAAAATATTCAATTATTTGCTTATAGTATATGTCACTATTTTAGTTTGATAAAGAATTTATAAAAAACTGTCTGAAAATTTTTAAATAACAATTTTGTGTATTATATCGAAAACTAAAGAAATACTTAACTTAAATGTGAAGTCAAAACAGGTCTTTAAGTGTTATGAGCTCCTACAGCTACTTGCAGCTCGGAATAAAGTAAGTCTTTACTGGGTTCCGAGTCACAGGGAAGTACTGGTGCGGCTGAAGTACTGGGCAGACTTCACAGGACTTAGACAAAACAAAGCATTGATAACACCGTACTCCTACAAAGACATCCTTAAATTCAAAAAAGTGATTTAATGTTGTTAATGGGTTTCATTACAGGTCATTATGGTCTGAAATATCACCTTCATAAATTACAATTATCTACTAATCCGGAATGCAAATTATGCCTTGAAGGTTCAGCTTTAATAACGCACAGAAGAAACTTGTGTAAAATGAAATTTCTATCACCAGAACAGATTAAGAACTCTTCTCTAGATTTAGTTCTGGACTTTGTTCACAAAGCTTAAAAAGGCTTTGTGTAATCAATAGCGAAATTGGTACAATAGGACTCTTCTGGCCACAACACCAGAATAAAATAAAATATTATACTGATATTTTTCCTTCAGTGTTTACCACTGGCTAAGTTTAAAAAAAAATTTGTTAAAAATCTGTCAAAATAATTATTTGAATACTTTTTTGTCCTTTAAGTTGTTCCTAAAAGAAGTTCTTAACTTTCTATAACATTTCTATACTTTAATAAAATTTTAAAATGAATTTAAAATCGTTATAGAATGTCTTGACTGTAAAAATATTTTTTGTTAAGCTATTAATTTAAATAAAACTAATAACACAGAATACTGGGTAATTATGAAAAATAGCAAGTCGCCGTTTGAGCACATCATTGAATAAATTATAAATTTTTTCTTTGTATATTACGTAGACTATTGCTAATAAATTAATTATGCAAATTATATTTGCTGACAAAATAATCTTCAATTTAATTAAATTATCTGCTCAGGCGTTACGTTAGCGTAGCAAAAACAAAAACTCATATAAACGAACAAAGATTTATAAATTGAACTGTGCGATATTGAAGTGTTATTAATGTTTATTCAGTGGAAAAAAAATTCTTCTAAAGCAATCGTATAAACAATAAATTAATATAAGTATTTTTTCCGAATTTTTAGAAATTTTATTTTATACAAGCAATTTACACGCCAAAAGCAATTGATTGAAATTTAAAATTTACACAATTTTCGCAGGTTATTAAAATCTGCTGTCGAACCCACGTAAACTATTTAATTTAGAAACAATTTTCAAGAAATTAAGAACAATTAAAGATAAACAAATTTAAGAAAATATTTAAATCTTGAGAAAATCCACTTATTGCTAATATTTATTTAACAAGATTTTGTGTTGGTGAATTTAAGCATTTTTTCAAGATTTTAAGATTTTAGAGTTTTTTTTATTTTTTTTATCTGTTGCATATCTACAGATATGACAGTGCAAATCTAAATAGGAGTTTATTTTGCAACACAGCGAAAAATAATAAATACAAGGAAAAATTTTTAAGTAAATACATATATTCTTAAATGCTTAAATGCTTAAAACATTAACACATTCAAAATCTTTGGCTTTTGGCACGAGTTGTGACGAAATGAAATTCGATCACAAAATTTTTTACTTCGAATTTGCTGTGCAAATATTTTTAGTACTGAAATAAAGTTAACAATTCTTTTATATTCAATTTTCTTGATAATTTGTCATACAACAAATAATATATGTCAACAATTTCACACAAGACGATGTAGATATTTGATTATTATTTGACATTTGTAACATAATTTATCAATATTTATTCATTAAAGCATGGGAAACTGGAAATATAATTTGTGGGTTCAAAGAAACAGTTGTGAAATTCATTTGAAAAAACAATGAATTTAATAAAAAGTAATAATAATACAAATAATAATTCTACTAGTAAAAATTTGACATCAACATTAAAAAAATATTAAAATAAATTTGTATAAAAATATCGACAGCTTAGTAATATACTGCGAAGCTATGTTATATACTATATACATATACCATACTCATACATCTCTTCGCACATATGACAGAAGATAATAAAATTTTTTAAAACAATCGATTCACATTCAAACACTACTCTCTCTCTTTGCTAAAGACAATCTCTATCATCACTGGCAGATATGCGGGCTTTGGATTAAAATAAAAGCGCACGACTATGTTGTCAGTGGAGTCTGAATACCAAGTTCGCACAAGCACAATTAAATAGAGCTGCTCCGCTTACTAATTCGACATAAACTTTAACAACAAAAACTTTAACTTTTTGGATCCAACTGAATTGTAAACAATTTTAAACTAAAATATCTCTCAAAGGTAACAACACTGTGCTCATGTAAAATATAATTAATGATAGCTGATTGTATTGCTTATAGGAGTGTAGAAAAATTTCTATCGCAGTTTATTGGAAGACTTTTTTACCCAGATAAAATTCAAATATAAAACTGTGATAGAATAGATATTTTTGCTATAATTGAGCAAAAATATACAATTGGTTATTCTCAAACATCACCTAAATATGAATAAACCCTTATAACGAAACTGGTCGCTGCTATAGTGATGATCAAAAAGTCATGCATCTGCAACAGAAGTAATTTAAAAACTTAAGGATCAAAGGGCTGTTTAGGTAATCATCCTTAAAACAGCCTTACAACAAATACTTGAGAATAAACTCAAAGTACTGCCTTTCCCGTTCCAAAGAGTATAAGACTTCACTGCTGTTAAAAAAGATACATAGAATTAGAATTGGCAGAACGAAGGACTGTTTAAGCAGCCAATTACCGCATTTCACCTCCCCTGCTAAGAAAAGTTTCCCACCTGTGCAGTTCGATTTGAAATTTAACTGATGGATCATACGGATCTCAATTTTTCAAATAAAATTCAATATACAAAAAGTTTCACTTCAATTGAGCCACCCTCTATATTATAACGTAAATTGTTAAGTCTAACTGTTAACGCAGCTTAGACCAGGTAAATCGGCAACATTCAAGAAACAACGCATGTGCCGCCTTTAGATAATTACCTTTTTATTTTAAATCTTCGCCGAACATCCAATTTAGTTCAAGGTGTTTCTAAAAATAAAAAATAAAATAAGCAGTAATATAAAATCTTTAAAGTATATAAAATAATATAATATATGTATATTTTAACGTATTTAATTCTAATAACGGATTTAAATTTAAATTATTATCACTTAAATTAACTAACTCTCACAGTGTATGTGAAATGTTTAATACCTTAAACCAGTAGCAAACTTAATATCAAAAAACAAATAATAACTACCAACTTATTATGATTAAGCGAGCTCGCTTATTTCCTAATATGCTGCTGCGTAAATTGATTAATTATTGTAACTTGCTTTGGAAAGAATATACAGCATATATGCGGTATATATACAAAATATTTATACGTTTTCTGAAAATTGACGTATTTCAAGTTGTGCCTCTTTTAAAGAGGGAGTGAGATGTGTATAAATGGAAAAAATAAAAATTAAGACCCTAAAGGATCATATTGCATTGTATTAGAGAAATATGAGTTCCACAATGTTTTGTAAAGATTACAGTCAACTAAAAAATCTTTAAATTACAAATAAAAAACGTTTTTGCCTTAATCTAAGACCTTTGTGCCCTTCTGTGTATGCTATGAAAGGATATCAAACTAACAATAATGAATATAAATGCAAACGAATGAATTTCGAGAGAGCGAAGAATAAGAACAAAAACTTTCAGTGACTTCTTAGTTTACACCAATATATGTAAATATTATATATATGCATATTTCTCTGGAAATAGTCTATATACGCCTTTATATACTTTTATATTAATACAAAAATGCTTGAAATAGACTGAACCTACATTAGAGACTAAAGTCTACAATGTTTTAAGAATTAAACATTGTTGGCATTATATTTACATTTTTTTCCAAACTACTTTAAAGTAAAATAAGTCATAAATAAATGGATTTCAAATGGAGCCCAAAAGCTGATACTGACAATATCTAAAAATCCTGAGCGAATAATACATAACAAAACAGTAGACGAAAAATTATGTTCTAAGAAGCTGAATGACACTACGGGTTTCATATTAAAAGGATAGGCAACAAATGTTTCAATTGGAGTGTTCACAGTTGTGTATGATGAGCTCGTTAAACGAGTAACTCGTTTATATGCATTTGATACGTTCAGTCTAAAAATATTATTTTTATATATGTTATTAATGGTAACGATAATAATGAAAACCTATAAAGACATGCTCTATCTGCTTTTAAACTAGCTCAACATATTAAGTACTAGCGTTTTCTTTTTATTCATGGGAAGTTTTCTCCATACAAGAATTTATGAAAAAAAATTGCTACATCTGGCAACACACGTTTAAGTTTTAAATTGTCATTTATTACTGAATAGTGTTATAATTTTATAGGAGATACTTAATTCGTTTAATTTTGTACTACATGTTGGGTCCTTATGCGCTTATAATCTGTGTGTTTCAATAAAACTTATTTTACAACAGACAGAAGTAAAATTGGCAACCACAATTGGTGGAAAATTTTGTGATGGTCATAAATCGGAAATCAATGAAACTGTTATGTGTCAATTGATCACCAGAAACACAATAACTAAAAGTAAGTTGTAAAAAGTAATACATATCACACTTCCATGTTCTACTTTTAAGTTCACAGAATGTATATACTGCTCCCAAGCAATTATAGACCCACCCACATATGCTCAGCGAAACACTTGTCCACACGCAAATACACTTAACGATTTTATTACTTCTTGTGACAGTTCAGCTCTGTTATTACGAAATATATGGTACATGCTGGCCCACAAACATACAAAAACGAGTATGCCACTCAACTTAAGCTGGTGGCATAGTGACCAAACTATGGTGGAATCGTTTACTGACAACGTTTATGACAACAATCTTTTCAAACCAATAACAATTTGACACAAATTTAACACATCATTTCGCAGAATATAAAAGTTTTGCAGCAAAAGTTAAGTACATGCAGCTTTGGAAATTTAACCGTACCGCACACCGCACATATCCATTCATTGTGAAAATACAATATGCAAGGAACCAAACCGCTCGTTGGTGTAGGGAATGTCTACTATTCGTATCTTGACAATTTTGAATTTTGCGGCAATTAAACGTCAATTACAGAAATTTTTATTACCATGTCAACAGCTCAGAGCTTCCACTTGAAAGTCAAAGCAATATCAATTTACCAATACTTTTGCCTCTTATACTACACTTCCTCTCAAGCATTTCGTCTCAATGAGAATGAGATTCCGTTCTTAGGAATATCAGGAAAATGGCACGTTTAAATCCATAGCTATTTTTTTATGATTACTTTGCACTGGCACATTTTAACAGGATTACCAGTATTTAGCAGTCATTCATGTAGCCGAATTGTCTAGCGACAGTACTCGTTATGGGAAGAGTAGTCCATGACAATTACTACAGAGTTAGTTGGCGCCAAACAGGTTTCATTGCAGAGTAGAAATATGAGCAAAAAGTTTTAACCAAAATAAAATAAACTTAAAAATTGTAAAAAATGGTTATAAATTGACTTGAACTTATTGTTACTATAACAACAAATGAATACCACCAACACAAACAGGCATGAACAACAATCAAAGCAACAGCAATTTCTGCTTCATTTGCTTTCTGTAAATGTCAGCAACTTTAGGTATGCAATCTCGTTACAAGCAATGGTCATTCTTAACTCAGCACTCCGCTCCTTCATCATCCAGCTTCACTAGTAGTTGAAAGTGCAAAATTTTGCTTCAGCAATTTCTTCTGAGGTGAGTAACGACTTAACCTTTCTAAAGCTATGAGAATAAACAGCATAGATTGCATTAAAATCAATGAATTTAATATAAAAATATAAGCTTTTCTTTGAAAAAACTTGTTTAAAACTGAAATGTTGGCTCAGCATAATTCTGGTTTTTTTTCACAACTCAACTTACAAATTAAAAAGCTTTTGTAATCTATCTTGGTTAAATATTTTTTTTAAAAAAAAAAATATATTAAAATAACAAGTGTGATTAACCAGCTTATTCCAAGCATTTCTATTAAACACATATCATGGCATACTTATATAAATGAAAAAACTTTTGGCCAGAGGAGGAGGAAGAGGTTTATTAATAATTAAACACTTAATTGCTGTATATTAATATTGCAATGTTATTCAATTTGAATGAATATGTTGGAAAACAAATTAGAGGTAAATTAAGCAAAAGCTATAAATGATCGTTAATAAATATTTCAGGATAATGTTGCTAATATGATACCTGTAATATTTATCTAAACAATAAAATCATTAATACTTTGAAATCGGGAAAGCCTTGCTGTGACAAGCTTAAATTAATAAAAAATTGACAAACTGAGAAAGAACTATCAGCTGATAACATATTTTGATTTATAAAGATGATGCAAGTTCTATGGTATCCAGGTGTTCAGAAAATAAGTAGTAATAGTAGTAGTAATAGATTGAGATTAACATTAAAACAACATATGTATACTTACAAAATTTTTTGGGATAAAGCTGTATACTAGAATATAGGGATACTACAACGTTTTCAATCGAAAGTATACAGAACTGTAACTGATATCAACCTGGTATTTACTAAAACGCAATTCTATCGAAAACAAGAAGTGTACGAATAGGAAATAAATTAAATACCATATAAGAAGAAACTGTAAGAAATGTCTGAGAAACCACACAAATGATCTTGTTTGCAAGATAATAAATAATCCAATATGATTCAGTCTTGCTACTTTGTCTCGCCACTTTTAATATTTCACATTATTTTAGTTGCAAATAGAACCTATGGTTTCGTGTATAAAACTCAACTATTAAGTAACATAGTAGCAAAAATAAAACACATTTTAAGTAAATGTTAGTACTCAACACAGCTAAATTAAATATTTAGATACAAACAACAGTAGAAACTAAAATTAGTACAGGAACACGAAACAGAAAATAAAAATGCTCCATCTAACATTACTAAAAAAATAGCAGAATAATTTCACAAAAGTGCTAACTGACAGCACTATGTTGGAATGTGAGAATAATTAACAGCACTAAAAATGTGGGAGATAAACATATCACATTCTGTTTATTATGTTGAAACTATTTAAGCCAGTGCACTTAAGCACTTTTACTCTTTCTTAACTCGAGGTATTTTCGAAACCCCTCTTTACGCCTTTACTAGATTATTGTTTATCCCTTCATCACACTAAGCAATAATTGACCGCAGATCTGCATACCTCCCCGAGAAGTAATTTTTAATGTTTACTTGAATTTTTATTACATAAATATAATTCAACCTTTTCAAAAAACCATAAAATATAAATAAAAACCAAAATCAATTAAGTTCCACATTTCAATCCAATTTAAGTCAATACCATGTCATTAGGTATTTTATGTAAAGTCAATTTTTTTCAGACATTTTTTTTAATAAGGCAGTAAATTCAATAACATAATAAAGACAATAAGGACAACCTGACAGACAGGTAGGTAGGTAGGAAGAAAGATGTTTATATATTCACGTGCATACAAATGCTTGACCAGTTACTCAGAGAAACAATAAATAAATGATGATACGGAAAGAAAATAACATAAAGAACCATCAAAGGTAAGATAGATTTAAGAATACAGCACAAACAACCACATTATGTAGCGCCAAATTAAACCAAAGACTCATTGAAATCCCGCATTGTTAAGGCCACTACCAGGCATGCCCTGTGCATCTGTGTTGCATTATGTACCTTTACTTTTTCTTTAAATGCAAACGGCAAACGGCGCAACTGGGAGCACAGCCGATTTCGAGCTCACCGTGAAATGCCTTAAATGCAATCTTCCAGAACAACAATAGGAACATCAACATTAACAATGGAAAAATACGTACAATCTGCCTTTTAGTATAGTCAAAACAAGGAAGCCTACATACGGACGCGTACATATCTATATATGCTCGCACGTTCTACGAATTGTTTTGAGCCAAAAGCAATAAGAAAAATTGTTACTTGTACCAAATGCTTGTAAAAAAAA